TTACTCATATGTGGAAATGAAAGAACCGAAGGGGGAAGCATAAGGGAGGGCATTTGGATGAAGATCAGTGAAAGGAGAAACAAAGTGATTTTGTCATCAAGGTCTACTACAGACCACCTAGACAGAAAGAAGAAATAGATGAGATGTTTGGGAAACAGATAGTAAGCCTGGAATGGAGGCATGGTAGAGTAGTGATGGGCATTTTCAGTTATCCAGGCATCTGCTAGACATTTCTTTCCTTTTTCCTCTTCTCTGCCCTTTCCCTTTCCCTCTCCCCTCAAAAGAAGCTATTAAGTGCCCTTTCTCTCACCTCAACCTATGGTATAAGGTAAAAAGTTCTGGATCTCAAATCAAAAGACCCCCTGGTTTCAAATTGTAGCTCTGCAGTTCTGTGACCTTAGACAAGTCACTTAACTGCCTTGTTTGCTCGTCCATAAAATGAAGGGTAGGACTAGGTAACATCTAAGGTCTCTTCTATCTCCAAATTGATGATTCTGTGAACGCAGTCATCAGTGCTAATTTTCCTTCAGTGCCATTCTCAGGCCCTGCTAGAGACAATATGCCTTTCTGTAGTGCCAAGTTTCCTCTAGTGTGACATTCCCCAGTAATAGGATGTATACACTAGCACCGTTGTGCTCTTTCCCTTAGATCTCATTTCTCCTATTGGACCACAAGGAGCCTGCTACAACTATTAGAGAGCATCTCTGCAGTAGTCTGTGTTGCTCACTCTCATCTATAAAGACATTATTCTCCTTGCTTTGTGGTCTGTGGCTAATAAAGAGCTTGCAGAGAGAGAGACAGAGAGAGAGAGAGAGAGAGAAGGGGGGGAGAGACAGAGAGAGAGAGAGGCAGAGAGACAGATCAGAGATACACAGAAAGAGACAGAGATACAAAGACAGCAGAGACAGAAAGACAGAGAGAGACAGAGACAGAAAGAGACAGATTTGTCCTATGATTTCCATTGATGTAGGAAGCCAGCCAGTGAAGAAACTCTCCACCAATTATTGTCCTGGACTTGGTGAGCATTTGTCTTATCTTATCTGGACCAGCCCCACCTTGCAACTTTCCAACCATCTTCAAGCCATACCAAAGTACCAGTCCTCACAACGTCCCACCTCACCCCCAAACTCTCCACCCAGCTCTCCACTTATCTAAGAAAATAAGCAGATCAGCACCACATAATAAGAACAGTGTCTATCAATTGCTCAGTGGCTTCACTGTGACTTGCCAATCCCAGAAATTCCTCTGTAGCTACCACTCCCTGTCTGTCCTTATTAGAATGTAAGCTTCTTGGGGGCAGGAATTGCCTTTTGTATTTGTGTCCCCTCAACTTGTCAAATGCCATTTCTTTCTTTACTTACTTCTTTCTTTCTTTTTCTTTTTTTCTTCCTTCCTCCATTCCTTCCTTCCTTTCTTATTTCTTTCTTTCAATAATTCATTTATTCATTGTTCTGCCCTCTTCATAAAAAATCAGTGAAGTTGTCTACCTCTGTTAACCCTCTAAGTGAACTGTATTTCCCCCCAAATCGCCAAAAGCCATGCCCAGTGAAAACTATAGAATCAGTCCCCATCTGGCTGAGCCCCAGGTGACTGATGGGTTAGATTTCAGCACCAGACAGGAGTTAAGTGCTTTGGAAAGGAGGTTCTTTTATTTCGGGTACCAGGGGCCCTGTTAGTGTTCAGCAGTGATAAAGCCCTTGGTGACTTCATAGGAGGAGAGGCAGTGTGGTGGAAAGGATAGAGGGCTTGGGAAGACCTGGGCTCAGGTTCAACCTTTTCCACTTGCTAAATGTTGGAATGCAGAATTGGCCAGTCTTGTTATACTGTCCTCTACTCTGCACACTCTGAGCTCCAGCTACCCTGGCCTCCTTGCAGGATGCCTCATCATCTCCTGCCTGCATGCCTTTGCCTTGTCTGCCCTCACCTGCACCGGCCCCTCAGCTCTGTCTCTTAGAGTCCTTCCTTTCCTTCAAGACTCACCTCAAACCTTGCCTTCTATAGGAGGTTTTCTTCCCTCTCCACCACCCCCAGCGTCTTCCCTCTCCTCAGTCTGGATTTCACATGCACAGAGTTATTTAAATGTAGCATCATTAGAATGAGAGCTCAAGGCTGAGATAGTGTTTGCCTTTGTATCCTCAGTGCTTAGTATACAGGAAGTGTTTAATAAATTCACTGACTCTCTTGAGCCTCAATTTCCTCATCTGTAAAATGGGACTAAAGAATAATAATAATAGTATCCACCCACCCTCAGGGTTGTTGTGAGGATCAACTAAGATTTTCCATATATGTGTATGTATGTATGTACACACTCTGCCAATGCATATATATGCATAGACCTATATGTGTGTATATATACACCTCTATGTATGTATAATCGGCTGATGCACAGATAAGTATAGACCTGTGTGTGTATATATAGTATGTGTAGTATATATTTTATGCATACATACATGCACACATACATACATATTATGTATATGCATTGGCAGAGACAGTTTGCTCAGAGGGAGTTGCCTAGACCAGTGAAGTCACAGATCCAGCCCCCTTTCCCTATTCTGGTCATTCTCTGTGCATGTCATCTCCCCCAGTAGAATTTAAGTTCCTTAAGGGCAGGAAGTATTTCGTTTTTGTCTTTTTGGCCACATTGCCTGGCACATAGTAGGTACTTAATAAATGCTGATTGATTACAAAAGTTGAGTCAGGTGAGGGCTCAGGGGGACATTATTGTCATTTGAGTGTCCCTATTAATTGGGTCTCACTTAATGAAGGGTTAACAAAAAGTGACAGACACTGGAAAAAAAAGTAGAGAAGAGCTTGTTTAGCTTCAGACAAGAGCTTGAGTGCAGAGAACCACTGAGCCTATGTTTTTGCACGTTCTTAAACTCTTCCTTAAGTGGCATGTTTTTCACAGCCATCATCATCACAGTCAGACTGCTCTGAAAGCTCTCTAGTTTATCTGTGACTTCGGAAAGTGTGGCACTCGCAAGTCAAGAAAATACCCCATCGGTGCTGGCTAATTGCTAAGTGCACAGTTAACCCTGTGTGTAGCTGGGAAATACCAACTGTGCATTTCCTTTGAGACCAAATGAGAGATGCGGGTTTGCTCTTGTTAAAGAGAGCACCCAGCCCCAAGGCACACTGAAGAGACCCTGTGAGGAATTCTAATGCCAGCGTCCCCTGACCTCTGACTGCCAGAAGTCCTATGAGCTCTGCGGCGTGCCCCCACCAAAATAACGGAGGATTCAGAATGTGCTGTCAAGGATGCAGCTGTCACTGTATCTAACACATACCACACAAGGAAACAAAGACTCGAACATAAAGAAGTACCCAGAAATGCCACAACCTGAGAGCTAACCTGCTATGCCAAGAAACAGTATTGCCTGGCTCTCTAGCTCTCTCTCTTTCCAGGATGGAAATAGGATGGAACAACCTAAACATCGTCCTAGAAATCTGGGCTCTCCCTGCAGCGAGAGAGGGCGGTCCCCTCCTTGGGGATATTAGCAGCAGCTGCTACCTTCATGCCCTACAGATCCACTGCCTTGCTTCTGTGATTTTTGCAACAGCAAGGATTTGCTGCATGCTGCAGAGGGAGAACAGAGATGCACTTTTGTGCATTTGTTTGTAAAAACCTATAACCTAACACCACATATATTGTCAGATTTGACTGATGTGTTGATTACTTTGGATAAACTGCTTTTTTTCCTACTTTTTTATTCTTTGTATTAAGAAATGGCTCTTTGGTTGGGGGAGGGGGAATATATTAGGAAATTAAATGACATAAAACAAAAAATATCAATAAAATATTTTAAAATTTAAAAACAGCTCACAACACAATGCTTTGCCTAGGGTATCTGGGCTAGAGTGGGGAAAATGCCACAGTACCGTCTCCTCTCACCCCGGCCAGGTCCCTAACCTCCTCTTCGGGAAGAGAATCCTTTCTTTTATCCTGCAACCGGGGTAGGAGAGCCAACTTTGCCAAAGATCATGAAAGAAATGCTAGGACCAGATATAGAACTCTGGACTCCTGATTTCTGGGCTTTCATTCAGGATGTCTTGGGTATTTTTGCCACCAGAAGATACAAATAATTATAGTTTAGATGTAGCTGAGGCAGCCAGGTGGCCCGAGTGATGGAACCTTAGACTTAGAATCAGGAAAGCCTGAGCTGGAATCCTACCTCACACACAAGCTGTGTGGCTTTGGGCAAATCACTGACATTCTCTGATCTTATGTTTCCTCATTTCTAAAATAGGAATAGTAATAGCACCTACCCAGCAGAGTTGTTAGGAGGATCAAATAAGATATGTAAAGTGATTTGTAAACCTTACAAATGTGACTTCAATCAACCAATTCTTGATTGATTGATATATGTAAAGTGACTTGTAATCTTTAGAATGCTATATAAAAGTTATACATACAGATAACATATATGTACACACATACATATATACATATATGTTCATACACACACACAAACACACACATATAAAATGTTCAGTATGGGAAAAGCATGGTTTCTTAAAGCCCCACGCTACATCCATATTGCTTCCAGAGTGGTAGTTTGTATAGATGTTACTATCTCCATTTTACAGATGAGGCAACTGAAGCTCAGAGAAATTATTTAAAATATCCACGATCACTCATCTAGTAAGTAGAAGAAAAAAATAGGATCGGAACTCAGGTCTTCTGACTTCAATTATAGTGGTCTTTTCATTGTGCTAAATTATGTAGACTTTATTAGGGTATTTTAGGCTCATCTATCCATAGGACCTTAGTTATGGGGCTATAAGGGGCCTTAGGGAGCATCTAGTTCAATGTTCCCATTTTACAGACGAGGAAACTAAGGCGCAGACAGGAAAATGGCTGGTCTGTGGTGGTACAGGTGGTCAGTGGCAGTGCCAGGATTTGAACCTGGGTCCTTTGGTTCAGGTGGTGACTCATCCCTCGAAAAGAGCCCTGCAGAGACCCCCGTACTAAAGAGACTGTCTCCAACTTTCTTAAGGGCCGATGACTGTTTCTGTGCCTCCCGGAAACTGGATGCTGTGGCCACCGAGGCGAAATTCAAGCAAGACCTCGGCTTCCGCATGCTGAACTGCGGGCGCACGGACCTTGTAAAGCAGGCTGCGTCTCTGCTGGGACCCGACGGAATCAACACGATGAGTGAGCAGGTACGGTGGCGTCCAAGGGTGGAAGCCCGAGCTTCTGCCTGGCACAGAACATGCATACTTATACATATATGCATTCACACGCATATACCCACACACACACATATGTACACATGCATGTACACACATACACGTATATAGATACATATATGTGTGTGCATTCACCCACATGATGTACACGCATGCACATATACATGCATGTGTACACATGTGGATATTCAATTATTAGATACATACATGTATAGCCATGTAGACAATACATATACAGGCATGCAATACACATATGGACACATGCGGACATAGAAACACATGTGAACATATGCATGTATAGATGTGTGTACATATGTGCACATGAGCATGCATGTAGACACATACCTATATAGACATAAACACACATGCAGACATAGCCGTGCATGCACAAAGCCACATGTGTGCATGTGCACCGACACATGTATAGGCATATGTGCACACCTATACACAAACACATATGTAGACACACATAGAAACACAATAAGACATGTGTGCAGTGCATAGACACATGCCAGCACATGTGTACATACAGATGTCAAATACAGATAAACACATGTAGACATGCAGAGACACATCTACACATGCATATATATACAGACTCACATAGACATGCATGCACACACACAGCATTTCAGCTCACTGAAAACACAAGCCTTGGGTCAATCCACTTCTGTCCTTGTAGTGATGCCTGGGTTGGCTGAGGACCCTTTACTGTCCCCCACAAAGCATGATACAGGCAGGAGGTTCCCCAGGATACACGGGGTACTTGTGGCATCAGAGGAGCAGAATGGGAATGGCTTCCACTCAGGTCTCACTAAAGTCTCATGACAACCTGAGGAGTCAGTCACTTTTTGGTGCGTTGTTTGTTGGGTTGTTTTCTGGTGCAGACTTGGCATTTCACTAGCACAAGGTGCTCCCTTTCTCAGAGCAGACTGGTGCCTTTTCTGCACCTTCAGGCACATCTCACAGAGCTGCCCAGGGCAGTAAGAGGCACAGGGTCACTGCCAACCAGTTACAGAGATGGGACCTGAGCTCAGGACTTTCCAACTCTGAGATCAACCCTTCTTCTCACATGGCACAATGCAAATACTATTATTCTCCCTTTATAGTTGAGGAAAGTGTCAGGAGGTGAATCCAGTCCCTGGATCCAAGCCCAGATAGGAAAAAGAACTGAACCTGGGGTTTCATTGGTACATGAGGAAAACCTCTTTACTAACATGTTGGTCCAATGCAGATTCTAGGCTTGGAAAGAGGCCTAGAGCTTTGACAGGTTAAGGGACCACCATAGGATCCCACAGCTAATCCATGGCAGAGGTGAGATTTGAGCTCAGGTCTTCCTGACATCAAAGCCAACTCTCTGTACCTTATAATTTTAGAGAGTCGCTGGGCCCTGAGAGGTTAAATTCCTTTCCCAGGGTCACACAACCTGTATGTCTCAGAGGCGGGATTTGAACCCAAGTCTTCCTGATTCTGAGCTAGCTCACCATCCACTGTGCACACCATTTATGCTTAATAAATGCTAGTTTATTGATCGATTGATCTGATCCCCTTTAACCAGTAAGCGATGCATCTTCCTTTTCAGGGGTCCAAAATATTGAATCAAAAGGATCCTGCTTCATATCTGTGATAGACAACCATTACTCATTGGAAAATACATTTTTGTGTTGGCCAGAAGTGAGGCAGAGAAAGGTTGGGACCTTCCACTGCCCTCATCCCTCTTACACAGTGAGAATGTTTCACCTGTTAACTATGACTTTACAAGTGATAGTAGAGCTGAGGACGTGGTTATGGGGTATCAGTGATTAATTATGACATTACCAAGGAGAGTGGAGAGCTAAGGATACTTCCTAACATTCCCATCATCAGTAGGTTGATGGCACCCATCATCGTATCTGCCATATTAGCAAACACAAGGTGATCCAGTAGATGAGACAGGTTAGCACCATGGATAGTTCCCTGACTATGGAGTTAGGGGTTCAGAACTTGGCTTGGCAACTTACTATTTATGTGAGCTTTGGTAAGTAAATCCTCTGGGCCTTAGTTTCCTCATTTATAAAATGAGAGCAATTGGATAAGAGTCTATCTAGGTAGCATAGTGTATAGAGTGCTGGGCTTTGAGTCAGGAAATCCTGAGTTCAAATCCCACCTCAGAAAATTGCTACTGGTGTCATCCTGGTCAAGTCACTTAACCTCTGTCTGCCTCAGTTTCCTCATCTGTAAAATAAGGATAAAAATAACACCCATTTCATAGTGTTGTGTAAGGACCAAATGAGATAAGGTATGGCGGTACAAATCTTATGGTGCTATGTAAATGCTATTTATTATTGTTGTTAGTATTAGGGAGGGGGGCACCAGCAGCTGGGAGGGATCAGAGAAAGCTTTATGTGGAAGGTGGTGTTTGAGCTGAGGCTTGAAGGAAACCAGGGATTTGAAAAGGTAGAGCTGAGGAGAGAACACTCCAGGCATATGGAGAGGCAGTACAAAGGCCTGGAGGCCAGAGATGGAACATTGTGGCTACAGAAGTGCCTGTGTGGCAGTAGGACTGAATTACAAAGTCATATGTAAGAGGACTGGAAAGGTTTCAGGAGGGGACAGGTTAGGGACTTTTTCCATTTGATTAGAAGTAATAGGGAGCTAGTGGAGTTCATTGATTTTATGGGGTGTCACAGTCAGACCTGCACTTTAGGAAAGTCACGTGAGGAGATGAGTGGCAGATGAATTAGAGCCGGGTGAATGCTTGAGGTAGGGGGAACAAATAGTCGGCTATTTCAAGAGAAAGGTGATAAGGACCTGCACCAGAGTGGTGGCCTCGTGAGTAGAGACCAGGGACCTGGAGAGATATAGAAGAAGAAACAAGGTTTGGCAATGGACTGAATATGGAAGGGTGGGTGACTGAGGAGATGGGGACAATGCTAAGTTTGTGAACTCAGCTGACTGGAAGCCGTGTCATAGACAGTGATGAGGAAGTTTGGAAGTGAGCCGAGTTTTGGAGGAAAGAGAATGAGATCTGTTTTGGAAACGTTGAGTTGGAGATGTCCACGGAACCCTAGAGGCCATCTAAACCAACCTCCTCTTTACAGTTGAGAAAATTGAGCCTGAGAGAGGGTAAGTGATGTGCCCAGGGTCACAAAGGTAGCACAGCCCTGGAGGGAATGAGAACATCACTCATCAAACCCTAGAGGAGAAAATGTCGAGGAAATCGCCTGTTGCTCCTTCATTTAACCTTCTCACGGGATGTGCTTCAGAAAAGCCCCCGACGCCCCAAAGGAAACCCAGACAGCACTGATCTCATGGTCATGAAGCCCTCGGTTCTGTCACACATTCAGAAAAACCCAGAGAAGCCCACAACATGCATGTACAATAAAAAACAAGTTAGACCCATGATTCTGCCTCACACAACACAGTCCCCAACTCCTGGGATCCCCTAGGTTGCAACAAACTTGCTTTCCCCCAACCTCACAGAGCACTTGGCTTATACCTCAGAGATGTTCTTCTCCCTCCCTCTCCATCTCCACCTGTTAATTACCAGTCTGTTAAAATGCATCTTATGCGTCCCGTCCTCCAAGAAAACTTACCCGATGCCCCTAGATGTGGCATAACACTTTGCAATTGATCCCTACGTCATTCTTTTCATATTATTATGCATTAGAGCCAGCTGTGCTGTGTTGGGCCCTACCCCCTCCTTAGACTGTAAACTTCTGGAATGTAGGTGCCCCCGTCTCTTTCACCTTTCCCAGTTCATACATGGTGCTTGGCATTGAGGAGGCAGGAACTTACTGATGTCTGTTGGACTATATCCCTGGTTTCTATTAAAGTTTAGATCAAGTGTCCCCACCTATATGAAGCCCTTCCTGACCAATCTACCCCAATTTAGTTGTGCCCCCCCAAAAAATCACCTTATATTTATTTTCTTTATTGCTCCTGATAGAATGTAAGGTCCCTGAGGGCAGGCACTTGTTTTTTACTTCATATCTAACTAGCTTTAGTAGATGCCTTAGATTTATAGAATTTTAATCCTACAAAGGCTTATGACAAACAGGGCTGCATGTCTTTTAATTCAGGCTTTTTGACTCTTAAACCCAGGAAAGTTTAAAAACCCAATAAAGCAATACTCCGAAGAACATTTCACATTTATGTGGCCTTTTAAGTTGTGCAGAACATTTGACACACTTCATCTCATTTGAATCTCACAGCAACCCTGAGAGGTAGGAGGTGCTGTTATTATCCTGATTGATAGGTGAGGAGATGGAAGCTCAGGGAGCTTATCATTTTGTCAAGGGTCACACAGAGAATCAATGTTCGAGGAAGGATTTGAACCCAGGGCTTCTCGATTCCAAGCCTACCCAACACCCCAATGCCTCTCTAAGGAGAGATGACAGTAACTGCTTTGTTGGTGTTCTCAGCTCCTTGGTTTGTCACCTACTACAGGGCATGACCCCACTGATGTACGCCTGTGTCCGAGGGGATGAAGCCATGGTACAGATGTTGCTGGATGCCGGAGCTGACCTGAATGTGGAGGTGAGCTTTGCCCCGTTAGCCTTCACAAGCCTAGGCAGTTATTAAATGGTGACTGAATTAAAAGTACTAGAAACTCTGCTCAATGTAATGACTAATCTTGGCTCTAAAGGACCTATGGCAGAGAGGTGGTGTACAACATATGTTGTCAGACACAGCCAATGTGCAGGTTTGCATTACTTAACTGGATTTTTTTCTTGCAAGGGAGGGTTCGATAGAGAGAAGAGAGCCATTGGAAAGTGGCAATAATGTTTTTGAAAAGCACATAATAAAGCATTTATTTTTAAAAAAGAAATAGAAATATTAGTAGAAATCAATAGAAGGAAATCCAAGGCTGGCTAGTTTCTCCTTGGAGCCCAGGGAGAGGGGGGAGAAACAAAGAGCAAGTCCTTCCCTCTCCCCCCTCCACCTGCTGCATCCATTAGGAGGTTAGCCAGAGTGATGCTGTCTTCCAGGAGACCATCTGAGAGCCCTGCCCAGAAAAGCTTACACGCGTGTTTCACTCATGAACAACCGACTGTAGCCACATGGAATATTGGCTTTCCCTGAGTTTGGCACTACTCTCATTGCTGCTGTATCTTCTGGGAAACCAACATCCCCTCCCGGCTCCTCATCCCAGCCATCCCTATATGTAATCTTTATGGTACAAGAGAATACAGAGGGAAAGAGCCCCTGGACCTCCCATTGCCCCCTTGTTCACCTACTGACTTTCTTCCGCATCCATGTTGGCTAAGTTGAGATTGCAAACCCATCAAGTCAACCTTGTGGTGACTCATCTGGACAGCATCTTAGGCACCCACCAAGGCCAACTCTCTCCCACCTGGGAAGCATTGACACTGTGCCATTAAACAGGCTCCGGGAATTCTCTGGAGTTCTGAAAATGGTACGGCTGCTCTTTCTGGGACGGGTTACCTGTATTCTTTTAAACTAGTGGAAAGAAAGAGTAGTCTCCACTTGGAAGGTCTACCCTCTTTTGGAATGGAAGCAAAGAGACACGAAGTGACACAGAGCTCGGGGTCCCAGAACTGGCAGTTCCAAGTTTTATGAAAGCAGCTACTGCTTCAGGGTATTTGAGTTCTCCCCACTCATTCCCTAAGAGTCCCCAAGGACAGATGCAGATGCTTGAAAGGGATTCTAAACCATGAGCTGGGATCACATGGCCTGATAGAATATAAGCTCCCTGAAGGCAGGAACAGTTCCATTGTTGTCTGTGTATCTCCAGCACCCAGCCCAGTGCCTGGCTCTTAATAGGAACTTAAATAAATGCTTGATACATGGACTAGCTGGCCTTTGGCATCCTTAGATCCACGTTCCTATGACTGGCTGAATTTCAATGAATGTCATCTCCGGTACCTAGTACAATGTCTTAACAAACATTTATTCGTTGATGATCTGATTTCATTTGATGAACGAAATGTGCCCAAGGTTAGAGTGCCCCAAAAGGTATTCTTTGAGTGCCAATTGGCAGAGATCACCAAAATATACAACAGGCATCGATCATCTCCCAGTCAGCCTTGCTTTGGGCCCCCACATACCGCTTGACTAAAATAAGGTCCATTAGGCATAAGAATTCTTACTCAGGACCCACTCTGAGGAGAATTTACACATGGAGGCTAAAACAAGAGTAAACTTTGGCTAAAGCAGATAGTTTTAGGGGAGAGGGCTCATTTTTTCCCCTATCAAAAACATCAGCACCCTATCAATGGATGTTCCCAGGGCCTCAAGCTCCATGGGAATGTGTGTTGACAAGAATTCACCTGGCATATTTTGGAAATAAAAGGTGTGGAACCCATGAATCAAACCCTTTCAGGATGCTTGGCCTCCCAACTTTCCTAACTTTCATGAACCGTCTTGGACTTTAGAGAGGGACACAACCATAGAATGACCTCAGTAGAAGCAGTCATTTGGCCTCCAGTGAAGGTCAGCCAGCTTCTGGTTCCATTGATCTAAGCAACAGGGGCAGCACTAGGAAATGGAGAAGGAAATGGCAAACCACTCCAGTTTCAGGGTTTGCTTGGGGTTTTTTGAGATTTTAATGTATTTATTTGAAAGCCACATTTTGTTTGTATAAGAGAATCCCTAATCCTCTACTGTAGAATAGAAATCCACAGTGAATTTCTTTTGTTCCCTGGAATATTTGATAGCCCAGAAATGGAATCTTTCACTGATCCGTCCTCACTGATTTCTCCTACCATCCCTTTCTACAAACCCCTTAGGGCAGGCAGCAGTCCCACTCCTGGCAAGAGATGTTTATGCATTTTGTCGAGAGGAGACAACAAGAATCCTTCTGACCATTTTATTCCAAGTCTTTATTCTGTCTTTCCTCTTGTGCATCTCCAAAGGTGCACAGCAAGATGGACAGAGGTCACATTTGCTATTCAAAAGTATTTCAAAGATTGCCTTTTGAAAATAATTTTAATTTGTTTGTAGGTAATCGGTACTCCTCATAAATATCCATCCGTCCACCCTGAGACCCGCCACTGGACAGCTCTGACATTTGCTGTGTTACATGGACACATTCCTGTAGTTCAGGTATTGCTATATTCTGTTACCCACATCTGACTTGTAATTTCACCCCTTGCTTTACCCTCTCTGCATCTCAACCAGTATGCATTTCTCTGAAGATGGCCATATTGGTTAGTTGTAGTAATATATCATATTCATATGAAATGAATGAAAATATTATATGTAATTATCTATATTACTTAGCTTTAACCAATATGGAGTGACTACACACACACACACACACACACACACACACACAGAGTCATCGTCATTAAAAAAAAAAAACGCTAAACCAAAAGCCTAGAAAAATTCTTTCCAATTTCTCCTCTTGACCGGTTACATTTGTATATTTGTTCATTCCATTTTCTTAAGTGAAAACAAGACCTTGTTAGTTTTAATATGCTGGAGCTTTATTATGAAACTGTCAGGATCTCTTGACCACTCAAAGTATACTAAGGAATAAGCCTTAGGAGGTAACATCAAAGCCATAGCTTCCACTGACCTCATGGCCAAGGTCCATCACAGACTAAACATTATATTGTTCATCATCCATGTCCAAGGGCCTCGGGGAACCAGGCACCACAACCATACCCAGAAGACCCCCGGGGGACACTTAGAGTACAAGAGAAACCCAACTAACAGACAAACAAGGAAAGATCTGCATGGGCACCCAGTCCCTAAAGCCTTACAGCTCTGCTGAAATAAAGTCTTGTCTCTTCTCTCCCTCCCTCAGTAGATGTCCTGTTTCTCTTTGCCCAAATGCGCTGGCTTGAAAATACCTAGTAGGGTGATAGTGGTGGCGCACCAGCAGTGTGCTGGTAAATGTTTAACTGGGTCCCCAGAAGAAAATAATATAAGCATGACATGCTTTTAAGTTTAATCTGCATTATTAACGTGTTCTCTAGACAATCAACGAAACAATAAATCCAGCCCTGATTTGTAACATTTGCTTACTTCTCACGATGAAATTGGTTAGTACAAGTTGGCTCCAGCACACCCCTGGGTTTTGTCCTTCTTGGTATGATTGGCCATAACTGCTCCCTACCCACTTCCTGCTGCTCAGTTGCCCTGCCTTTCCTTCTGTGCTAACAGTAACTGTCTTCAGGGTTCATGTGATACGAGCACCTTACAACTTTGAGGTTATGCCCTGCTAGGGGATAGGAAAAGGCCTTTGATTATCTTCTGTGGTACAGAAGATAATAGAATGCACAGTGACTAGTTTCACACACAGTTACCCCCTCACCAAGGGAGAGGAGCAATTGATGGCAAGCGAGTGCTAAGGAATGCAGATTTCTTTTAGACGGTGCTTTGACAAACCAACTGGGGAGATGATTTCATATTCACTCAAGAAAGCTTCTGCCAGTCAATCAGTGCCCCATGGTGTACCCTCTTTGTTCATAGCTCTGAATTAGGGAGTGGGAATATTCACTCTGTCTTCAAGGCTCTCGTCATTGTTGTTTGTCCTTCGTTTTCAAAGAGGACTAATGACATCTACTCCAAATGGAAAAGAAAGAACAAATACATAGGAAACCTAACTCTCCTGGATATGCGTGAGACAATGTGGCATAGTGGATAAACATCTGGCCTTGGGATCAGGAAGACCTGGCTATAAGTCCCACCTCTTCTTACCCCAGGCAATTATCTGAGACTCTGTATAGGTTACAGAATTTGAATGGGTAGAGAGAGTTTCTTCACCAAAAGTTCCCTACTCCAATGAAATCATAGGTCCTAACCCAAATGAACAGTAGCACACAGCTGAAATCATGGAGAGGGGACCAGCTCTGGAGTCAGAAAGACCTGGGTTCAAATCCGCCATCTGACATGTTGGCGGCTTGATCCTGGGCAAGTCACTTAACCTTGAAGTATCCTCTGCAGCTATCTAAGTTGGAAAACAGTTGCTGATCTCCATTAGCAAAGAGAGTTTCTGCACTGGAACTTCCTTATAATCAGAGAAGTCACATGTCTTCCCCACCACACCCCCCCAAAAAAATTAGGAAAGGGAGGCTGGAATGGTAACCAGGTAAAATTTTTTGCAGGATAATTCATTTAATGTAATTATTTGAAAAGTTGTCCTTAGATATCCCAAGAGTATCAGAGCTCCAAAAGAGCTTAATGACCATCTAGCCCGGAGGTTCTTAACTTTTTTGTGTCCTAGACCCCTTTGATAGGGGTGAAACCTATATAGGTGAAACCTATATTGACCGCTTCTCAAAATCATATTTTAAAATGCATAAAATAAAATGCAGAGGACTAAAGGGGAAATCAATTCCAATGAAATAGTTCTCAAAATATTTTAAAAATAAATTCATGAATTGGGCCTGGGTTAAGAACTCTGATCTAGTCCCAGACCCCATCATCCACTTTTTTATAGATAAAGAAATCAAGAATTAAAAACAAGGAGGTGACTTGCTCAAGGAGAACACAATGGCAGAGCCAAGACTCAAGCCCAGTTCTCCTAAGCGCCGCCCCACCCCCCCGCCCAGGGCAGGGTTCTTTTGGCTCCATCCACATCAGGAATGTTACAGAGAATCCTAATACCCTAACACTAGAGGAAAAAGGACTAGATGATCTCTAAAGCCCCTTCCAATTCCAAGATAACCACATGGCTCCTTCTTGGACCAGTTTGTGGTCACTCTGGTTATGAGTAGAGTGTACTGCTAGAAGATAATAGAATGGCCTTTATTTATCTTCTTTGGCACAATTGTTGGCAGGTCCTATTCTGGGACAAGGGGAATGATGCATTTGAAAAGGAATCAACATCTCACATATCTTTGCTACTTACTGTGTGACCTTCAGGTAGGCATTTATCTCCCTGAGCCTCAGTTTCCTTCTCTGTAAAATGAGGAGGCCCCTGAGGTCCCCTCCAGTTCTGGATCTAGGATTCTATGTTCCATTTTTGCCATGGTCAATTCATCCAAGGCTACTGAATGAACCGGGGTCTTCAGAGCTTTGGAGTGCATCAGATCTTGAGGAATTCTAAGCATTTCTAAATGTCCACGTTTCCTCCACAGCTCTTGCTAGATGCTGGGGCCAAAGTAGAAGGCGCTTTAGATCATGGGGAGGAGAACTATTCGGAAACACCCTTGCAGCTGGCTGCCGCCGTAGGTAAGGAAGAAGGGGGTTTCTTTCTCACGATGGGAGGGTCACGTCTCCTCTTTCCCGCCCCCACTGAAGTTGGATGTGCATAGGATGCTGTGTTCATCTTCTTGGATAAAAACACACCCTTCTCTGGGCTTGCAGGAAATTTTGAACTGGTTAGTTTGCTGTTGGAGCGAGGAGCCAATCCAATGATAGGAACAATGTACAGGAATGGCATTTCTCCGACCTCACAGGGAGACATGAACTCTTTCAGCCAGGCTGCAGCCCACGGACACAGGTAGGCTAGGACGAGTCAATGGCACCAGACTCCAGGCACTTGTGGAGCACTGCCAAACAACATCAGCGGCTTCTTCCCCCGTCCCACCCAGACCTTAGACATCTCCATCAACTTTTAACCAAAAGCCAGCCTTCTACAGCCCGAGCTGGTCCACTGGACTGTCCTTTTGGTGGACTTGTTTTTACTCTTTCTGACACTGACCACACCACTACCTCCAGCATTAGCCCACAGGAAGAAATCCCCTTTGCATGTTTTAGCCAGAGCAGCTCACATCAGCTGGTATGAAGAGGATAGAGTCTTTTAAAATTAATAATAATAATAGTAAAATGGAAGGACCAGTCACTTTTACCCTAATGTATATGGGTATCCGTTTTAAAGTTTCCCAAATGGAATTTCGGGCACTTTGCAGTTTTGCAAATTAAATTCCTTTGGAAGGGAGTAGAGGACAGCACTTAGAGACCCTGGCCTCTTAGGTGTAGGTTTCTAGGCTTAGGAGAAATCACTTACCTTCAGTGTTCTGAATTGGTTCAATGTGACCATTCTCCCAGGAGGAGATATCCTTGATGTAGCCTTCAGAGCCCCTTGCCAGAACCAGCCCCATCCAGGTGATCGAGGCTATTGTTTCCATGGCAGGGGGCAGGAAGCCTCCTCCCCCGCCTCCTCTGCCCCTCCCCCACCTCCCAGTACAGCAGGCCCCTTCTCTGAGTATCTTCCTCTCTCTTGGGCTTGTGATTGACAGGAATGTGTTCCGCAAACTTCTTGCTCAGCCAGAGAAGGAGAAGAATGACGTCCTATCCCTGGAGGAGATTTTGGCCGAGGGCACTGACTTGGCGGAGACAGCCCCGCCTCCCCTGTGCGCCAGCCGCAACAGCAAGGCCAAACTGAAGGCCCTAAAAGAGGCCATGTATCACAGCGCTGAACATGGCTACGTGGATGTCACAATTGACATAAGGAGCATAGGTCAGTCCTGCTTTCCCTTCCCCATCCCGGCTCTGGCCTCCTTAGGGCTGGTCCGTTTCCAGTCCAGTGCCTCCCAGGGGCCAGGCCCTCATGGCTGGAGCGCAGGCACCGGCCTTTGACAGACCTGGAGAAGGCTTGTCTGAGGATGGAGGCAGCCTAGCCCAGGCAAGGACAGCAAAACTGTCAGCTTCCCCTAATCACTAGCATGACGTAGCCAAGAAAAAAACACCACCTCATCCTCTAATCATCAGAAAACATCTCCTGGGCCATTTCTTCCCTCATCCAACCCCACGATTGGCTGGTGGCAGGCAGAGGGGATACCAGTAGCATCACTGATTCCCACCCTTTTCACCCTCATGGTAGAAAAGGTCAGGTGAGGGGGGATGGCTCCTGCCTACGACAGTCCATAATACATCTCCATCTAGTGTGTGAGGGAGTAAAATGAGGCCGCTGAGACCAGCCAAGCTTATGAGCATGTCTGCCTCAAACCCAAAGATAGAAATTGGAGCTATCAGAAACCACCGGACCAAGAAAGTGGGAAACACAGCCTCACAGCCCAAGAGAAGGGTGTTGCCTAATGGATGTGAGCTGAGCAAGCTTGCCAAGATTTCTTTTTCTTTTCTTTTTTTAAAAAATGTACCATGGGCAAGTTGTGCCCCTTCAAAAACTCTCTTCTTCTTCTTCTTCTCTCTCTCCCTCTCTCTCTCTCTCTCTCTCCCCCTCTCTCTCTCCCTCTCTCTCCCCCTCTCTCTCTCCCCCTCTCTCTCTCTCCCTCTCTC